TGCTAAATGTTTATATATTAATACAGAAAGAGTGGTGGTAGGCTGACAATCCATTTCATCATTTTGTGACCAAAGCTTCTCAAAATTGCTAGAAAAGTGTAATTGTGTATACAAGATTATTTTACCAAGATTTGGAAACAAAAGCTGGTTTAATCCAATCACACAGACAGAGAGACAGACCTGTTGTTGACATGCTGCTCATCTAAAGCATACCTAAACTCAGAAACAAATAAAAGTAATATATGACAGTTACACTGAATTGATGACAAGATCAACACATATTTTTTGTACCTGCAGAAAATGTAATCTGTAATCTACCTGAAAAAATAATATGAATGCAGTCACCGCATCTAAGGACGGATAAACTGCTAAATTTTACATTTTCTTTATTTGCATGTTCTTGGGTTTAGATATACTTAATAATGTATCAAAGTATAATGCAACAATCACATTACTGTCTCTTTAAATGGCCACAAGGCATCATTCCTGCCATTGTCATGTGATTCAAGTTGCTTTGGAAGATCTCCTCTTTTATTCCACTAAAGGAAGCAAATTTGAATGCATAGTACCTGTCAATTATACATCAAAGGCCACCTAGGAAGCCACATATTAATTGTGACCTTTTCCCTGGGGAGGAAAGTGATAGATTATTTAGCAAGCAGACTTTTGACTATGAATCGGTGAGGTATAGAAAAAAATCAGGGAACTGTACAGTTCTAAAGAAGTAAAATAACATGGTATCTGAATGATAAAGAGAGCCTGTAGTAAGCATATAACTGCGAAGAGCTTTACTAGGAAATGGTGGGCACGTAATATTTAACCAGTTGTGGACGTACTACAGACATCTAAAAAAAACTGCATCATAGTACACCCAATGTCTGTAATATGCCCTGTCCTTTTGCCCCTCTGCCCCCTCCCTTCCCCCTTTGCACTTGTCTGCAATTTCCCACCATCAAAATGACAGCCAGGAGAGGCCGTGCAAATACAAAAAAAAAAAAAGGAAGAGTTCAACGTACGTCGTTCAGATGCCAGGTCCAAAGATACACGTGTTATTCATCTGTAGATGAAAACAATAAACTTCAACCTGCTTTTGATGTCAATTAAAACAACCTGACAACAGAAAAAATAAATAAAAAAATATGGCCCTAAGGTCACCCTAATCAGCCCTAAATAACTTATTTCTCTTTTCCCCCTTAAAACAGAACAAATTTGATTAACCCTTGCAGTCGGGCTACCCCCGCACTGCAAGGGTTAACTGCTTGTTTTTGTCTAGGTTAAAAAAATATATATACTCGTCCGATGCTCGGGTCACAGCGCTCCCTCCTGCCTGTCTCCTCATCCACTGTAGCGTTGGTATGTCGCTCAACATCCTCACATCCTATACAATGTGTATAGAACGTGATGACTCAGGGACCTTAGGCCGCAGCAGCGGAGGGGGAGGGAAAGAGATGGAATGGATTGTTCTAAGAGCAGCCTGGCTCAAAGCATCAGGCTTTGGCCCACTGCAAGGGTTAAAAGTTGTGCTTTAACTATTTTTTCTCATTTTTAATTTTCTAACCATTAATATAAATATTTTTAACTTTTATACATTTTGTTTGTTGTTTTTTTTCCATTAAAAAAACTCAACAATAAAAAAGCCTTTATTTCATTTGTAAATAGCTTTGCAAAACTTTGTAACAGAATCATAATTTTAGTGTCATTCTTAATTGGACAAATGATAGAATAAAATGTATACTCTGCAGCTACAGTAACAATATACCTTTTTATAGTAGCAGTGATCCAAGTAGAAAAAAAGTTTTTTTGTTTTGTAAGTGTTTTTTGTCTATGGAGTGCATTAACAACAAAATCATTTTTGAAAGACAATATTACCAAAAGAAAGTCTTGTTTTTCCTGAGAAAATTATAATAAAATTATTTTAGACCGTATAGTGGGGTGGGGGGGCATCCCCATATAGGGGAACCAAAATAATCAAAATTCCCAAAATCAAAATCAATAAAGCTATCTAGAATAAATACAGTATTCCCAAGGGGTATTAAACCCCAAAACATGTATTATATTAGAGAATGTAGGAACCCCCATAGGGATATACTCCTTGGGAATCAATACACAAGGATCATTGTCTATGCTATATTCTATGATATAGAAAATTATCCTTGTGTATTGATACCCAATGAGTATATCCCTATGGGGGTTTCTTCATTCTCTAATATAATAAAATTATTTACTTTGTTATCTTAAGGAATGACAAAATTATTATCACATCGCAGTATAAAAGTATAAAAATTGCTCTTTTCCATGGGGGGTGTACAGGTGTAAGAGTTGGCATAGTTAAAGAGAAATTCCACCTTTTTGAAAACAAATAATAGATGCACACTTCTTCATAAAATAAAATAAAGGGCTATTATATTTTTTGCATTGGAGCCAGTAAAGCATTGCAACCACTTCAGGATCATAGCCCCCTATCCCTTTGCGTCTAATAAGGCCAATTGTTTTTTTTTCCTGCCATTTCACTTTCAAGCCAAGACTACTTTCACCCCAGATAACTTTACATATTATGCATCTTTTCTTAATCTGGTTGTAGATTTGAATACATTTTTGTTTTAATTGTGAAGATGAAAGCATTAGGAATAATACGTTCCCAGTCATTTTTCCTGGCACTGCTATTACGTAATCAGCACAATACAAATCAGTCCAAGGATACCACTTAAGTGCAATTGTTACAAGTTTTTAACAAGAGCAATTAGTATAAATGATAACCATCAATATCTGATCAAATCAGGTGTTTACAGACAGAAATGTCTACGGGTTTGATATGGTAAAAGTGCTACATTATTGCAGGATGTTCAAATGTCATTCAGAACCTCCACTATGATTTTTAGAACCCGGGGGATTCATGCTTTTTTAAAATTTATTAAAAGCATGTATTAAATTTATTTTTTTCTGAGGGAGAGTCCTGAATCAAGTTGTGGGGGTGGTGGCGGTTTGGGGGTTGTAGGGGCTTGGGGTGATAAGCTCTTGTGACACACAACTGTCACTGACAGAAGACACCCCTAAGCTGCAGGAATCAAGAGTGAGAACATTCCTCCTTGCTGAGAACTGCTACCAGCACTATGGCATTAAAGAGGCACTTGGGCAAAGTGGTTACGTTTAAAAAGTCTTCACTTTTTTCATCTCTAAGTGACCCCTTAGAGATTTCGAAACTGGATATAAAGCAAAATTTTTATTGGATGTCCTATTACAAGTTCAGTCTTATTGCTTTAAAGAGCAACTAATTTGATGTTAAAGACTAAATTTACCTTTTGGACCATGTTTCATGTTACACCCATATTTGGGGTGTATCATGAAACATGGGTCACATCGGCATCCCTGATGTGATCAATTATTATCATTATCATTATTTGACGAGTGCTAACATTTTGCCCACTGGTAATCAAATTTAGTGTTATAATCATTAAATAAAATCAATTAACACCTTTACAAACTGCTTGTAATGGGTTCCGAGGCTAACACTTAGAATAGTAGAATTTGCATTATGGGAGTTTTTCTGCTTTAGATGGTTCAGCTATGATAGGGGGATTGACCTCAAACATGAGTTAAGATTAACCCCGCCGTCTGTATAAGTGTTTCTAAGTGCTTCACATCTTTTTATCTGCCTATAGTCTTGTTCCCCCACATGCCATAACTTGTGACTGATTTTTGCTTGGAATTCCCTGAAAATGCCCCCCTTTTCTCTGCTACTTCTTGCCCTCCCGTTGCAGACCAGTGTGCTGGCAGAGCCGAGAAACAGAATGTGTCCTCACAAAGACTTGTTGAGGAAGAAAGGGGGCATGTCTAACAAATTTGGTTATTAAATGCTGATTATTAAGTGAACAGGGTTTAACTCTGAAACCTATTGGTCAGCACAGTAATTAGACACACAACTGTTGTAACAAGAAAGTGGCAGTAAAATTGAGAAAATTAGGGCTGATTGTATGATATCTAATAGAATTCATATCTAGTATTGTGACTTCAATTGGGCTTTAACATTAAAGCCCAACTCACTGCCTTCTGATGTAGTATGGTACTTCTGCCCACCTACAGTTCCAACACCTACTGATTTTTTATTTTGCCACCTGCAGAAACCACAAATCTAGTTTATCTCTAATTGTGAAGTCATCAAAAGTCCTCCCAAGTTCACAGCTCTAAGGAGGGTTTGTTTAGCTGCATCATGTAATTTCTTCTAGTTTTCTGTGACTACATGATCCTAGCAATTGTTTCCTGTATTCGGTCCGAATTGTGGATGGAGTCATTGGAAATTGGTTTGAACCTGAGATCTTCCATACCTGAAGTGCCATGGGACCACCTGCTAATGGTTGTACTGATGTCATTGACTTTATATGGCCACATGGCCATATTAGGTCAATGGCATTGACCAAATATAGTCATGTAGCCATATAAGGTCAATGATGCCACTGCATCCGCCCTTTTCTTACATGCACCTGCGCATGGGGAATTCCAAAGCCGGAGCTGATTGGGCAGCAGCAGTGGGAGCTTCCCCAGCTGGAGCTGATTGGGAAGCAGCAGTGGGAGCTTCCTTCTGTGTTTAGAGGAGCTCCGATTCGGCATGGGTTGGGTTAAAAACTGAGCTCATTTCTAGTCCTGGCCTGGATGTTTTTGGCATGGGGTATAAGCAGTCTCTACCAGTAAAAGTTTGCAGAGAGGGGTGTGTGTGAAGAGGTTAGATGTGAAAAACCTTGCCCAATTGCGGTTTCCTGCCTTCCGGTAAGCCAGCTCCTGTGCTTCCACTCTCTGTGGGCTAAACTTGAATGTTTACATAATTCAGCCATTCTTATTTAGAGAAGTGCCTGAAGATTCTGATGCTAAAGGGTGGCCAAATATGGAAGCAAAGTTTGCCAGACTGCCATAATTTACTTTGATCCATTAATCTGATTTTACCTACTGCACAATGTAATTGTTCAGTGTAATCCATACTGAATGTGTTCCTCTCTGCTCCTCACCAGGAAATTGCACCAGCAGTTTGAAATGTACAAAGAGCAAGTAAAGAAGATGGGCGACGAAGCTCAGCAGCAACAGGAGCAGAAGGGCGATGCTCCCACCTGCGGGATCTGCCACAAAACAAAGTTTGCAGATGGCTGTGGCCATAACTGTTCATATTGCCAAACAAAGTTCTGCGCGCGTTGTGGAGGGAGAGTGTCATTGCGCTCAAGCAAGGTAAGCCACTGTTACATTGGAAGGTTGCCCTATCATGGTAATTTCCATATATGTATCATGTTATTTTTGGCCAGTTCTCTGTCAGTTTCTCTCAGGTCACTGCTTAAAATGTGCACAATTAGATATTCACTCATTGTGTTAGAAAGCTTCACAACCAAAGCCCATGGCACTGATAGATATTGTGTAATATTAATTATAAAACATTAATAAAACATTAAACGGTTTTCTAAACAGTCTGGTTACCACATATTTCAGTTTTTGGTAGAGCACGGTTAAAGCTGAAATCCAGGTTGAATGTACAGTATTTTGCCTAAATGTAAGGGATGTGTGGTTTTACTTGAATCCTAATGTCCTTTATGCATTTCTTCCACATATGCAGTAATCCAGCATGAAACGATTTATGCATTTTGCTTCAGTATGAGAGTTTCCTGTAATAAAGACCGGTCAGTGCTTTTCTCTTCTTGTGCAGGGTGACTGGTCTTGTATCTGCCCCCCCCTGTAATGTTCTACAGGCAGCCTTTAAAGGGCGGACATGATGGGAAGCTCTTACAGCTCTAGGTGACATCATGTGTTGCACAGGTTATGTTTTTGTCCCTGGAATTTCGACTTTACAGGAACACTATTCTAAACAGTTTTGTATTCTGATGACTCTTCGTGGTTAATCCATGTAATGATAGTGATCAGTACATCAATGACCTTTTTGTATCTCACGTCTTTGTTTTTTTTTTTTATATATTTAGATGGAAACCAAATTGTTTAGCAAAAGCAAAATAGATAGGGTATTAAGACAAACTGAACGCCACTGAACTCAACGCCATCTGTATTACCCCATGTGGGCCCCTCTTTCCTTTCAAATGTACATTATTCAGATTGTAACAAGAGGGTTAAGTGGGAACATCTGGGAATCTAGGAGCACCCATTTTCATGGTGAGAAGTGGGTGACTTTTATGTAGGGGGAACAGAGACTTGGACTAGGGTAGAAGATGTCACCACTAGACTTCTTCAGGCATATAAGATACCAGGTGACTCAGTTCAGCAGGCTCTGCCTCTATAGCTTACTGTAGGCTCTCCCTGTGTCCAAATTCTATCACATTATATCAGTGCAGATTGCTAAATTTAAGAGGCATCTCACCACAGCTCTTTAATTATCTTACTTCCTACAGCAGATTCTGTACATAACACCCAACTTTCTGGAATGGGAAAGAGGGACATCTTTTAGCATAGTTCATATAAGCAAAGTGCACCACACCTCCAGGTAGACAGTTCAGAAAAACAATGTGCCATTGATTCCTACAGTCGACCATTCATACCAAATAGGATACTCCAGAGCTGAACACAGACATTAAATAGCCATACATGGCTACATACTGGTCACACAAGTGAAGAAGAGGGGAAGGCGTTGGTTTCACAGCAATCAGACAGTTCCAGCACCATTAAATCTTAAGGAAAAGGGAGTCACAATTGGAAAAAAAAATATCTGCATTATTGCTTAATACCTATAGGTGATCTGAGAGTGCCCCATAGACATTAGGCCAGAAACAGCTAGATTTGGGAGTGTGTCATCTAATGGCTGTAGGCACATTCACTGTATAGTCTATATTTTTTACACTGCACGGTGAAAGTGTATTGTGTACAAATACCAAAACTAAAAACAACACATAAGTAACCAGTTAAGTCATTGTTTCTGGTGATATGTGAATGTTAAAGCTACACTAAAACTCAGGAGTTTAATCTAAAAGATGCATTCCACTACCCTAACTAATAACGAAAATGTATCTTGTTTGTGTTTAACTCAGCTGTAGATCCTCAAATCATCTCTGAATTGGTGCTGACACTGTCCTTCCTTCTGGAGGGTGGCTAAATTTTGTTCCCCATGGTCCCTGTGTGTGTTGTAAAGTAGTCACCGCTCCAAGCTCGCTCCTGTGATGGACTATAATCTCACGTTTAGCTTACTAATTTGTATTGAAGTTGTAGTCTATCACGGGGGTGAGCTTGGAGTGGTGTCTACTTTAATTTACAACACTACCTCACAGTTGGTAGCGTTGGACAGCATTTTAAAATGCGCACCACTGGTATATTAAAGTGGAACATTTAAGGCTAAGGGAGCTGGGAACTGATGTGATTGCGTTGTGTGCTGCTTTTCCCAACATTCAGAAGCACTATCCTGCTTCTGCTTCTTAGGCACCGCATGAATCATCCAGTCTAGTTCCACTGCCAGCCTTCAGTGACTTATTCACTTCCGGCCACCACCTATCCTCATCAGCACCTGCTGTTTGGTTTGTAAGTACACAAGGACTTGCCTTATTTTGAATCTACATGTTTTCTGATACGAGGAGCAACATGTCTTTTCAAAGATACACTGAGGGCAGTTCCTTTTGCAACAGGTGACCACAGCCAATACTTAACTACTGCTTATAGGGCCATTTTGTCAGTATGTCTAGAAGGAACCAAAACTTGTAACATAAAATCCAGGACCACCGTTATTATAAGGTCATTCTCATCGAAATCGTCTATAGCTTCGCCACAGGAGGCTGAGACCTCCTTTGTGCCCATAAGACCCCTTATATCCAATTTGTATTTTATGTCAGTTTGTGCAATTCAGTGAAGCAATATGCTTGCAGATGCTCTAAGAACCCTCTGGCACAATCCATGGCAGAGTCTATTTCTGACCCTACCGGGCCTCCATCTCTAAATGTGCTTGAGGCCCCATTACCATATCTGATTCAGATTTAGAGTTCTTACATTCTGCTTCTGAAGAGACTGTAGTGCATTTATATTATTATTATTACAAATTCTATTTCACAGGCTACATATTTACAAGGAGTTGTTTCTAACCTGATTGATTCAATGCATTTTATCATGCAATTGGAGGATCAGCCTACTGTTCCAGGCATAGGATCTTTAAAAACTCTTATAGCTGCAAAAATGGTTGATGGTACCATTACCTTTTGGGATTTCACTAACAGACAGCTGGATTCTCTACTTAGTTCTCAGTTTGAATTAGCTCTCTGTCCTCTGTTGGTGGTGACTTTAATTTGTGAAATAATGTCACAATGGATCATATCCCTTAAAGGGGACTCCTCCTGCACAAGTTCAAACCATTGAGTCCTGGAACTTTTGAAACAAATGTCTGTAACCCTATGTTTCAGCTGTAATGGCCTTTTGCAAGCATCTATGCATGTGTCTCACATAGTGGTGATGCCTGTTCATCATGTATGCTAGCCTTTAGCCTTTCCAGCTGTTGTCCAAATGTTTTTTTCGCTATTAGACATAGTAGGTCTGTGTTTAGTCTGGGACTTACCCCAGTAAATATTATTTTCTTGATCACTTTAGGTGTTGGGCTAGCAGTTTTCTGCTGTTAAGGTGGTGTACTGTTCCATCTGTTTTTTTAGTGAATGATTGGTTGGTCTTCCATTTACTGGTTGAGACCCAGGTCTCCAACTGGTAGCACTTTCTCTTAGTGGAATTCCTGGAATCTATCCTGGTTTGGAGCATCAGGATGATTCTTGATGCCCGCCCCTGGGTTCTAGCAATTTACAAATTGGTTGGCCCTTTTTCATCTAGACTTATTGCAGACCCTGATTCCTTCAGATACTCTTGCAGTATGACCTTCACATTGTTGGCTTTTGCCCACCCCTCAGTTGTACTACTTTTGGATGTCCCACCTGTTCAAGAATCTCTACAATTCATTTGTCCCTCAATGGATTTTAAAGGAAATATTATTTTGTATAAAGATTATAAAATCTTTTTTCTCTAAAAGAAACACAGACAGCAATATAAAGTTGACAGACTTTGTAACCCTTCCCACTAAAATTAAAAGCAAAGGTTGGGATGGGTTGTGGTTTAAACTTCTACCTCTACCTCTACCCTCATCATCATAGTTGCAAACAGGTATGTAGATTGCCCGGTAAACCCCAAACCTATTCTGAAAGCTTATCTTATTCCTTCCAGCTGCAGGTGTAAGCATATTCACAAAGCTACAGTGACAGTCCCTATACAAATGTGATTATCACATTCATTATTTCCATCACTCTTGTACATGATGCAAATTAAAATAAAGTTGATCCCAAAACTGAAGAGAGGACTGCAATATTACCAAGCAATTGACCATATAACTGTGCCATGGAAGCAAAACCTCCTCCATGTTCTACCCTTCACAAGTCCCTTCCCATGCTGGGTTTTGTAATCAGATCTAATCCTTCTGTATTGTTTTCTTCTATTTCTTAAGATCAGAAGGCAAGAAGAAAATCACATTTAAAGAGTGCTCCTTAACATGAACTTGTCAGCCATGTAACCTTTAAAATAAAAGTCCTACAAGGAGTCACTTTAAAATAAAAGCCACCGCAAGGAGTCTCTTCTTACACATATTAGCCAGAATATTTTCTTCCGCCTGCCCACTTACCAGCAGCTGTGTCTTTAATTTACACTGAACTGCTCTAATTAGACAGGGGGGTAACAACTGGGCAATGCTTAGCTCAAATGCCAGGCCCCTTGTAACAAAGAGGGGTGCCCTAAGGAGGGTTTTTTGCCAAGTGAAGGTATTATCAGCCACCTTGTGGTGTATGTTCTTCACCAGGACTATTACTTTATGTGTTTCAGATGGATGATAGGTTTACCTAATGACAAGAATCTTACCTTGCTGCATTAAAGTAAGGGCCTTCCCGTGAGAGCTGATTATTATTATAATATAGGATTTATACAGGACCAACATTTTACACTTGTATAAGTTCAAAATAAAAGTAGACAGTACAGTTATAATACAATTCAATACAGGAGGTTTAGGAGGGCCATGCTCCTGAGAGCTTACAATCTAAACGGAGGGCAAGTGATACAAAAGCATTCATTTTAAGGATCAAGCTGATGGAGAAAGTAAAAGTACAGGTTTTAGGCAGGATAGGCTTCTCTAAAGAGATGGGTTTTCAAGGATCACCTAAAGACAGACAGGGTTGATGTTTAAGAGATCACCTGTAAAAAAAAAAAAAGCATTACAGAAATGTATGTAAAGTATAATAGGAGCACAATGATGGAATATTGATGTAGCATTTTATTTTTGTACCCTGGAAGATGAAAGCAGTATTTGTTGGCTTGCCAATAATAGGTCCTCCAATAGGTTGTGTTCACTGGAGGTCCTTTAGTAGAATTAAATATTTAGGTAGCAAGTGGACCCCCAGCAATAGAGACTTAGCAGTGGTGACTGCTATTAGTCTGGTGTGCTCTTGCCTATCTGGCTTGCTTTTTGAAATGGTGGCAGTGGTTATAAAACTGTTCCTTAAAATTCACTAAAGACCAGATATTGGAGAGCTGAAAATCTAGACCCTGGATGCAAAATCCCAGACGTGGTACTAGTTAGTTTCATAAAAAAAAATATTATAAATGAACATCAGGTTGTAAATACATGACGATACATTAAATATAATCAAGTGAAGGATGCCTAAATAGGGATTTATTGTACATAATACGCACTTTGGAATTTAATTCAATTAGCAACCATATTAAATATCTCACAAATCACAAGGTTCACCAAACTAACTGTTCTGTATGACGTACACAGCCCTCTCCTTGGCACTGAAATTGCAGCTTGTCTGGCTTCTGCTATGTAAATGTTATCCAGATCAAACTTAATGTGAGCCACTTGTTAGTCAGCATCTCACACATTGAAGTATTATGGCTTTCATCATTCTCACATCTTGTAAATATGCATGTTCCTAATGGAAACTTTCAGTAATTTCCAAATAAGTCACAGATACGTGCTGCTAAAGATGGATTTGCTTAATGTTTTAATGATGAACACCATTTGTTACAGAGATTTTTTTCCACTGAGCCAAAAAGAAGGATTTACAGTTTACATGGAACTACACTACTTGTGTAACTTAAATAAAGGATTTCTGCTACTCCTATTGTGCCCCCGACTATTTACAGTAGACATAAATGGGCAGCACAGTGGCTTAGTGGTTAGCACTTCTGCCTAGCAAATTCCGATCAGGACACTCTAGGCAAGGAGTTTGCATGTTCTCCCTGTACTTTGTGTGGGTTTCCTCTGGTCTCCTCCCACACTCCAAAGACATGCTGAAAGGTTAATTGGCTATGTATGTGTGTGCAATAGGGACCTTAGATTGTAAGCTCTTTGAAGGCAGGGACTGTAACGTTACTGCATGTAAAGTGCCATGTCAATTGTCAGCACTATATAAATACCTGTAATAACTAAATAATAATAGTTTTCATAGTGTGGCTGCACCACAATACCATATTTCACAAGTATGTAGAGCTACATGGGGATTCTGTAACTGCAACTTTTGGTCTGGGTTTTGATAGACTGGAAAACCTCTTTAATTAAGAACCCAGAATAATCTAAAAAAAGCCTACCAATGTAAATTAAGCATCACAGATTGTGTTGGGCAGCATACGCCCGACATACTGTACATTAAAATATATCCAGGCTTAATTACTAAAAACTCATGAGCTTTAACATGTCATGTAAATGCAAAAGATGTTTTCAGTCCTTTTTAAATCTGTAATTTTTAAAAAATAATACCTGGTGATCCTGTTATACGGGTCCTTGTTTAAGCAGTTCATGTTATAGGGTGACAGCTGTTTCCCAATTGTGCTACTGCGTTGTCACCCTGTCACACATGCCCTTGGTTGAAACTAAAGGCAGCCATGTGAACACACATTACTCAGGCATTGTTCACCATTGTCACTGTTAGGGAGCTGGTCCAGAGCAATGATGTGCAGCCGATGATGGAGCAAAAGCATGTAAACAGGAAGTTGCTGGAAGAAGCCGGAAGTGATCAGTAATGCTTAGTTGCAAAGAATTTCAAAAAATAAAGACTACTTTATATAACAAAAAAGCAAATTTCAACCAGTAAGGGGTTAGACCTGCTTTAAAAAGGAACTTTACCCATATCTTCAAAATAACAACAAAGGCACTTTTAGAAATGTTTAGTAATGGCAATCTACAAACACATACTTCTAGATAATTACCAGCTTTTTATTTTTTGCATACATTATTTCTCTTTTCTTCCCCAGTCTTCTGAAATGGCCATTTTAACTAAGGGCAGACACATCCATCTTCCTTTCTTCCTTTACTTCCTCGAACTCTGGCACGTGTGACCAGGACATGTGACCATGCACATCATCTCAGGGGAGTAAAATGCCTTTCCCTGAGATCTCATGAGATTACAGATGAGATTTCACAGCAATGCTCTGCTGATGTAACCTTCCCAGGATGCAACGCTTGGGCACGATGACAATGGGGATACGTCCATCCATTCCCCATCTTTGTTCTTAATATATCACGGTAAATATTAGTCAGCCAACTAAACGTCAAAATCAGTTTCAACCAATAATAAAAATGCACTGGTTCCGTTAGAGTATCATTGTGTTCAATATTGTGCGGCAATCACTGATTGCACCAGCAGGTTAGGATTGGAAATTTTAGCTCTGAGTTAGAAGCTGTGGTAGAAACCAGAAGCTGCGTGAAAAGACACAAACAAACGGAATGTGCAATTTTCTTGGACATCTTCAATCTTCATCATGTGCAGTCTCAGCCCCATAGATTTCCATTGTTATGGGTTCCAAACTCTTCAACATGTTCCACACGCTTAATGTAGAAAAGCCACTGCTCCAGAACCTTGCTCTACTGTTCTGACTTCTCTGACTTTTCAGCAAACCCACAACAAGATTTTATTGTTTATTTAATCCCAATTATTGTCGTTAGATAGAGAGAGGCTTCATTCACACTTATGTTAGGATATTAGTTCCAGCATTGAATTGCTGCAGCAAGAATCAGCTAATTTTTGTGGCATGAATCAGTGGATTCTTTCTGTTGCAATCACAGGTGGTTCCAGACAGCTGTTTCCAGGCAGCTGTTCACTGCTATTCGCATGTGCCCGCACATCCAGTGGTTAGGGACAAAAAACCCGCCTTGGTCAGCTTCGGTCATTTGTCCCTAGCCGCAGGTAACCACTGGATTTGCGCATACATGCAGATAGTGGCTGAGCAGCTCCAGCTGTCCAGAACCACCTGTGGTTCCAGCCACAAGAATTTACTGATTCTTGCTATAGGAATCCACAGTCAGCCCTAAAAAGTCCTTGTGAATGAATTTTTGCCTCATGCCACAGTCATGTCTAGGCGATTTCCAGTTGCACAGTGTTACAACTAGTGATGCACTGATACTGATACAAGTATCGGTATCGATGCTGATGCCAAGTATTTGGCTGAGTACTCGTACTCGCCCAAATGCTCCGATGCCTAGCCCGATACTTCCAGTATCAGGTAGCCGGACAGCGAGTCATTACATGCTGACTGGCTTCCTGATTGGCCAGGAAGCCGCCTCCATGCTCCCTCATCACTTGTGACAAGGGAGCATGGAGTTGGCTTACTGGCCAATCAGGAAGCCAGCGGCATGTAATGACACGCTGCCCGGCTTCCTGATTGGTCGGGAAGCTGGCCAATCAGGAAGCCGTGTGTCGTGTAATGATTTGCTGCCCGGCTTCCTGATATGGGAAGTATCAGGCGAGGCATCGGAGCATTTTGGCGGCACCTGGCTTTCTGATTGGCCAGGAAGCCGGATTCATGCTCCCTCGTCACCTCATGACAAGGGAGCATGGAGCCGGCTTCCCGGCCAATTGGGAAGCCGTGCGCCGCGTCATTACACGGCGCCCGACTTCCTGATTGGCCAGAAAGCCGCCTCAATGCTTTCTTGTCACCTAGTGATGAGAAGCATGGGGACAGCTTCCCTGGTAATTGGGAAGCCAAGTGGCGAGTCTTTACACGCCGCCCGGCTCTCTGACTAATCAGGAAGCCAGGTGGTGAGTCATTACACGCCACCTGACTTCCTTAATGGGACTTCCGATATCGGTAGTCGTTATCGGCGAGTACTGGAAAATAAATATCGGTACTCCGTACTCGATACCGAAAAACCGGTATCACTGCATCCCTAGTTACAACCAAACACAAGCTTCTCTAACATGTATTCCTGTTGTCTTACTAATATAACCCTGTCTAACCTAACTTTGTCTTACCAGTTTAACCCTGGCTTACATTTCTAACCTTGTCTGTTACCAGTTTTACCCAGTCTTCCCAGTATAACATTGTCTAGCTGGAATAACCTTGTCTTCTTCCCTTTCTTGTCTTCTCTCCTTTCTCTCTCTCTCTCCTGACTTTCCGGATATCATACAGGAGGATAAAGTGGTTAGAAAACCTTTTTTACTTTTTAAAACCTCTATTCATTGAGTCATATAAATCACTTCACTTGTTGGTTGTGGATTCTTTTTATTTTGATATTACATTTCATTGTTTGTGCTTGTTTTCTGTTTCTGCATGACATATATGTGTGTATCTGTAGTTTGTTTTTTGTAGCAGATGTATTTATTTCATATAAAAATGTGTTCCCTTACAATTAGTTTTTTTTGTTTCTTAAAGAGGAACCCTGTGCAAAATATTTATTACCCATTGTAGTGGGGCTACCCCCCGCATTGGAAGGGTTAACTGCTCGTTTTGGTCTAGGGAAGAAAATACAAAAGTTATACTCACCCAATCATCCAAGCTGGCTTGCTCCCCATCTTCTGCAGTTGTCTATGGTCCCTGAGTCATCAAATTCTATACACAGTATATAGGACGTGAGGACCATTGTTGCAGAGAAGGAAGAGACAGGCAGAAGGGAGTGCTGTCACATTCGGCTGGCTCGGAGGATCGGGTGAGTATAACTTTGTTTTTTACTTCACTAGACAAAAACGAGCATTTAACCCTTGCAGTGTGGGGGTAGCTTCACTGCGGGGTTAATAAACATTTTGCCTAGAGTTGTTCTTCAAAGCAGACTAAAGGGGTTCATTTATACATAGGAATTCATATACTAGGGGTGCTAGTGTTGTGTTGTGCCTAATGAGCCCCAAAGTGTATGTCAAGCCAAACACTTTTTTTCTAGTTTTGCATACAGTGGGGAAAGATTTGACATCCTTTTGGGTTTTTACTGCTATCTGGGGCTTCGTTAGAGAGATTTACCCCCACTTCCTGTCCTGCGAACAACATTTACCAGACAGAGTAAGTTAAGTAAGAATAAATCTGGAAGAGGGACCCAGACCAAAAAAAAATGTAGCACGGGTCCTAACCTTCCCCTGTTCTACTAAAATAAAAACAATATTATTTGTGTCTGTGCTGCTGCTGGAGATTATCCTCACTTCCCGTCTGGCAAAACTTTGTCAACAGGACAGGACGTCATGGTAAATCTCTTATGAAGCCCCAGATAGCTGTAAAAACCTAACAGGGGATCTAACTCTAAAATATTTTGGCTTGATATACACTTTAAAACTATATTAACAGAGTAATAAAATGGCTTACCATTCCTGGAGGAGATGATGCTCCAGCTTTCCTGCAGAGCTGTTCTTAGCACCAGAAACCTAGAGATTTGGTCACATGGACTCAACTGATGTCAAGAATAACCAATCTTCCAGCTAAGATCATGTGTCCAGATGCCTAGGCTTCTGGTTGTAGCAGTGGAGGGAAACTGGAGTATAATTGTTTTCTAGGAAACGTATTTCACCCATTCTGTGTCCAGTCTAGGGTTGCCACCTTTTCTTCAAGCGAAACCCGAACACTAGCGACACGCGGACATATTTTTTGGGGAGAATGAGTCGTGGCTTAGTCATATGTAACTAGCACCACCCATTAATATGTAAATATCACAGTTGAGACTATTTTCAGTGGGGGGCCAGTAGCCCCTATCTTTATTTTGGTTGCCCCTGTCTGCCTGACATCATGTGTCCGGGTTCCTGGTTCCATGAAACCCGGACACAGCATTCAAAACCCGAACTGTCCGGGTGAATCCTGGACAGGTGGCAACCCTAGTCCAGTCTTTATCCATCCCCGCAAGACTGTTAACATGGCTTTATGTTTGAATTTCAGTGCAGGTTTGCTTTATATATTAATATAATCAAAAGCTATATTTGCTCGTACTGTTACAACTGATTATTAGATAAACTTGCAAGTTAGTGTTTGTGTGTGTTGAGATGGTTGTATCACCGAAGTATGTTTTATAAAGACTCAATAGATTTCTCAGGGTTAACATAATGCCCAGAGATATGTGTTTGACTCATTAGCACTAAGTTTCCACGGTTTGTACAACTCTTATAGCCTAAAGCTGCCCATACACCTATAGATTATCTGCAGACTTTCTATGGTCAGATGGAAAAAGTGCAACAGATTCCTCCATCTACGCTAAACTGTGTGGATGGAGGAATCTACCGCTGGGCCAAGATTCAGTATCTTGCTAGTCGGCCCCACTGGCTGTACGATCTGATTGGATGCAGGCATTGTTCAGGTATTTTGAAAGCCAGCGGGGCTGACTAGCAAAATACTGAAGCTTGGCCCAGTGGGAGATTTCTCCATCCACACAGTGTAGCGTAGATGGAGGAATCTGTTGTTCTCAATCTGACCATAAAAAATCTGCAGATAATCTATAGGTGTATGGCCAGTTTTATAGCCTGGCACTTCTCGCAGATAGGGAGAGAATACAAGTAAATTATTTAAAAAAAAACATTCAATCACTGAGGTAAGGCAGTCCTATTTCAACAATTCCTATGCCCGTTGGTTACTGAGTTTGTTTTCGCTAGCCGTATAAGACAGTGCTAACAAAACTAGCGGTCAAAACTTTGGTTAAAGTTAAATTAGAAAAATGTTTGCATAGACAGTACAGACTTTTTCTATTCAAAGAAATCACAAAGTACACATTCTATGACACCAGGTAGTGGGAAAACAATGGTTGTAGGTAGGGATGCACTGATACCGATACTAGTATAGGTGCCGATACTGAGTATTTGGGCAAGTACTTCTACTCGCCCAAATGCTCCCATGTCTAGCCCGATACCTGAACTTCCGGTATCAGGAAGCCAGGCAGAGAGTCATTACACGCTGCCCAGCTTCCTGATTGTCCGGGAAGCTGGCTCTATGCTCCCTCATCACTTGGTGACGAGGGAGCATGGAGCCGGCTTCCCGGCCAATCAAGAAGCCGGGCAGCATGTAATGACTAGCCGCCTAGCTTCCTGATTGCTCAAGAAGGAAGCCGGACGGCTAGTCATTTCCCGCCCCCCCCCACCCCCGGCTTCCTGATTGGCCAGAAAGCTGACTTCATGCTCCCTCGTCAACAGGTTACAAGGGAGCATAGAGCTGGCTTCCCAGCCAATCAGGAAGGCGGGCGCCATGTAATGACTCGCTGCCTGGCTTCCTAATTGGTCGAGAAGCTGGCCAATCAGGAAGCCCATCGGTGAGCCATTACCCGCCCCCCCCGGCTACCTGATTGGCCAGAAAGCTGGCTCCATGCTCCCTCGTCACCTGGTGACGGCTTCCTGCTAATCGGGAAGCCGGGTGGCGCGTCTTTACACAGTGCCAGGCTTCCCGGCTAATCTTGAAGCCAGGGGAATAGTTATTACACGCCGCCCAGCTTCCTTAATGGGACTTCCGGTATCGGTATTTGGTACCGGCGAGTACCGAAAAAAACATTATCGGTACTCGTACTCAATACCGAAAAACCGGTATCGGGGCATCCCTAGTTGTAGGTGGTAAAAGATAATCACTCGATTGAAGATGACAAAGTAAACATAACACTATATCATTCAACAGAAAAGATCTGAACAATTCTAGCAGATGGATGTTTCTGGTAACACTGGTCTAATACAAAAACAATTGAATGTGGACTTGAAAGTGCACATTCTTCAGATTGCTGTAAGTGCAACACCTCAATATTGGCAGGCAAAATGTAAAACAATGAAATTGCCTGCAGATGCTCAGCTCATTGTCTCCTATGAGCAGCAGTCTACTGTATGATATGATAGTAGTCCTCACCCTATCCAGCCAGAACTATGTCATTTGAAACCCAGTCTTGGGACAGTAAGCACTGCTGCCGCCTTCCACCTGTTTTGACATTGGCATGAACTACCTTGATCCGATAACCCACAAGGTCCGGTGCCCAATGGCTACTAACTTGAAGACCTGGAGAAAGTGGATGGGGAATACATCCAGAAGTTGTAGCCTTTAACACAAGAACTGCAAAGGTTCCTAAAGGAAATTCAGCTGTCATCGTAGTACTTACACAGAGATACCTTTATGTTGTCGATGAGATCTGTGAGCAATGACAATGCTGGTTAGATTATCTTGCCACAGTCAGCCATGAGTCAAAGTTAGCTTTCTGCCTCTGGCAACCCTTTTGTAGAAGGGAACAGCAATTGTATTAAAATAAAACTTTGAGAAGCCATTGTATCTTAAAGAAGAACGACGGGTAA